TAGAGATGGGACCCAGGCCCCATTCCTGCTAGGCGAGCTCAGTACCACAGAGCTACACCCAGTTTGTTATGAGTGTGTTTATAAAAGTCCCTGTGGTTGCAGTTTTCATTCTGTTAACAGTTTGCGCACCTGCTCCTTGCTAGACACTGCACAAAGTGCTGAGGACACAACTGTGAACAAGGTGAATCCTTTGTCTGCAAGGAGTTTACAGTTTCTACGACAAGACAGGCAGCTCACAAAGAAGAAAAATACTGCAGATTCTAACAAGTGCTAGCAAGAAACAGGCGTTGAGTGTTCTGAGAATGCTTCTGAGAATTAATGTGAAGTTGGTGGTACTAAGGTGTGTTTAGAAGCTTGTTCTGCTTTCCCAATCTGTTGGAGTGTTTTATTTATGTATTTATTTATCTTTTTGAGACAGGGTCTCGCAGTTCAGGCTGGCCTTGAGCTCACTTGTAGCCCAGGATGGTCTTGAGCTCTCAACGATCCTCCTGCTTCAGCCTCCCAAGTTCTGGGATTACAGGTGTGCGCCACCATGCCTGGCAATAGATATATTTTCCAGTCTGGTAGCTACTAGCCACTTACCTCTGTTCAATGAGTTAAAATTAAATAACATCAGAAACTCAGTTCCTCATTTTTATTGGTCACTTGCTTTTATTAGGTGCTTGTTAGCTGTGGCTACTGGCTGTTGTATTGGGCAGGAGAGATAGGAAGTCTTCTCTGATTATCAAAATTATTCCTATAATCCAAAATTATAGTCATGTGGCTAATGTCTACTGTACAGTACTTTATTAACTTAAAATAAATCTGGCTATTGAAATTGGGCAAGTCTGAATTGAGGTGTGCAATAAATATAAAATATGGACTTTAGTACAAAATAAAACAAAATCTCAATTTTAAAAATAGTGACTATATATTGCAGAAATGATATATTTTAGATATATTGAATTAAATAAAATACATACCTATTTATTTTAAGGTGACTACTAGAAAAGCAAAAAATCCATGTGGCTTCCAGTACGTTTCTGCTGTGATTATCTGATTCTAGGCCAGAAGTTTTCACAGGGGTAGAGACTGTATGCCTTTTGTTGGTATTCAATGTAGGTAGAAGTACCCAGCACAAAATGGTGAGAGAATAAAGTGACTCTGTTGACATTGAATATCATTGTTTAATTGACAAGCAACAATTACCTATCAACTTCTAATTTTTAGAATTGTTAGCTTTCTTTGCTATTATGTTGTCTAAAAATTGTCAAGAAAGAGGCTTTCAGGGCTGGGGGTTTGGCTCAGTGGCACAGCGCCTGCCTGGCAAGCGCAAGGTCGTGAGTTCAATTCCCAGTACCGGATAAAAACCAAAACAAAAAAAAAAAAAAAAAAAAAGAAAGAAGCTTTCCTTTTGATAAGCAGTGTAAAAAATTCTTAGGCAACTAAGGAGAAAGGAGGAAATAAAAATCTGCCAGTGTATTTCCTGTTCATTTTCTGTGTAGCAGTTTTACTTTAGATGTCATTGAAAGTTTATGACCATTAAATCTTTGGTTTGTTTGTTTGGTCTTTTTGAGTCAGGGTCTCACTATGCAGTTCAGGCTGGCCTCACTTTGTAGCCCAGGCTGGCCTCGAACTCATCCTCCTGCCTCAGCCTCCTAAGTGCTGGGATTACAGGCGTGCACCACCACGTCCAGCAATGACCATTAAATTTTAATACTTGAAGATTACCAATGCTTTTCCTTCATACTTTTGTCTTACTGCTGTGTTCTGTTTCTTTCTAATTTGCATTTATTGTTAACCTTGTTTGTCACTTCAGACCTAAAACAAAGCGATTTACTGTTCCTTGTTCTTTCCTATCAGTTTGGTTTATGTTTTCTTATCTCTGTGTTGCGTTTTAAAGTCTCACTGAGCTTGTGTTCAGTGTTTTGCTGAATGGACTCCTTACCTACTATCTTCCCCAACAACCCATATATACCTTGTGTTCTTTTCCTATAATGAGTTCAAAGATGTACACTAGGAGTTGCAAGCTCAAAACTCATTTTGTAGGCAATATTTGTTTACCAAGGAAAATTTTTTGAAAGTTATTTTTACCTCTTGGATTGTGGTTTTCAGACTTTATTCTTATTGATCCCAGTCACATTTAGCTGATTTCAGGGTGATCCTTTTATCAATAGTGTGTAAACCACCAATTGGATCCAAAGAGAATGCCCAGGATTTATTCTGTTATAGGAAGAACAGTCTGAGCTATTCTTAGTTCTGTAACGTTATAAGTTTTTGCCTTGCTCTATATGTATTCTACCAAAAGTTTTCCTAATAGTCTAGGCATTATTCGCAGTGACTTTTAAATCAAAAGTAAAAATGACTAGGCATGGTGGTGCACACCTTGTAATTCTATCACTTGGGAGGCTGAGACCAGCCTATCAAGTTCGAGGCCAGCCTGGGTTACATAGTGAGTTCAAGACTAGCTTTGAACTACATAGTGAGACCCTGTCTTAAAAAAAAAAATGGGAACAAGTTGTTTAGAGACTTTTTCTCTTCTAAATTGTTTTTTCCTTATGTGTTTGGGGAAATACCTGGGCTCCCATAAAGAATATACAGTACATCTTTTGCTTTATGTTCCAAAAGTGGTATTGTCATCCGCCATCAGGGAGTCCTGGGGTCTTGTGCGAGTTCCTTGTCCCTGTGAAGCAATATTGTCTTCCTATAATGTGTTATATGGTTCATGATTTCATATGCTTATTTTTATTTATTTTTGCTGTTTTCTTCTATGGTTGCTTTAGAAATAGGATAAAATACCCTTGATTTTAACTGTGTGCTACCTAAAATGATAATTATCATAACCTTGGAGATCTTTGAATAATCTGGAATTGCTAAGTCTGTATCTCACTTTTCTCTTATAGCTTGAGAGAGTGGTCTTGGTGTTATATTAATGTAGGTTAGTGTGTTTCATGCAAGTAATTAAATTTTAAGTGAAAAATTGGCATCATACCAAGGTGTATTTGGTTCCCATAATTAATCTTATGCCCCTCAAAGTTTAAGATTAAAATATTTGCCATCTCTTTCTATAATCTTTAAAAAGCTTTGGCCTTCTGCAGTGTTAACTTCGAGTCTTACTGAAAATTAACTGAAAATTTAAATTCTTTCTTCTGATTGCTCTTGTACCTCTTTTGCTTCTTGTACCGCTCTTTGCAAGAGGAGTATTCCACACAGTGGGAGGAAAACCTGAACTTGACTCATGAAGTGCTAGACATTCAAAGCAGTGAATCCTTGCAAAGGATCTTGGGACTAGACCTCCTTGAATTGGCTCTTTCAATTTGCCCACTTAAGGGCATAATAGATTATGCAGCTGTTTGGGCTTCAGCATGGTTTTGTCTCATATTCATGTCTAGTTGCAATTATGTGAATTTTCAATTTGATACAAAGACTTCTTTTTGTGTTTGAAACAATTTTGTTGGCTTTGTGTTCTAATAGGAGTTTTCTCTGAGAAAAACAATGGTCACAAGGTTTTGAATTTTGAAAGTGTTAAATTTTCTTTAATACATAAATTTATTGAAAGCATATTTTAAGAAGAAATCACTTCCTTTAATTTTATATTTTAATTTTATATTTATTTTATGAATTATAGCAGAAAGGTTAAATTATACACCTTAAATCAGTTGAATCAGTCAGATAATGATTAATGTCAAGAGTTTGGTGGGCCAAGCTGTGAAATGGAAGCAGTTTGCGGGCTGGGGTTGGAGCGTAGTAGTGGAGTACTTCCCTAGTTTGTACAAGGCCTGGGTTCAATCCCTAGCACAACAAAAAGTAAAAAGAAATAAAATGTTTTCTAAAAATTAAGAAAAGTAAAAATCATGTAGTTCTAATAAAAATATAAACATAACGTAAAATGTAGCAAACTTAGTTATGTATAATGTAAAGAGGATCTTTTTTGTTTAAAAAAATCAAAGCACCTGTCTAATATCACTTTAGAATTTCCATAGTAAAAATATTACTTAAGTAGCTTATGGAGTGTTTTAGAGGAATATACCTTTTGACTGCACCTTAGGGTGCCCTTTCCACCTTGAATGGGGTACACAGTAGTTTTCCCATACTTTTAAAAACAATTTTAAAAATTAACCTTCCTGAACTTTATACCTGGGACTTGAAATATAACTAAATGGCATGCTTGCCTTGTATGTATGAGGCTCTGAGTTGATCCCCAGCCCAGCAAAAAACAAAGTAAATAAATAAAAACAAACTTTATACCTGAATAAGTTGTTCTTCCCTTTTAGAGCCCCGTTTGCAATGCCAAAAGAGTAACGTTGGCAAAACATACAATGTCAGGCTGTTAAATGTGCTAAATATAGAAGTAATATTTCTGCTCATTATTCCCCTCAGCTTTAAGTAGAAATATCAATCTTTGATGTCACTGAAAATGTACTGTGTTGTGATACTGAGAATGTGTCAGTGAATTGAAAAGCTTAAAAGTGAATCTTTCACATTCAGTACTTTAACGCTGTATATTTTCACTTGTGGTTCTCTCTTTAAGTCTTAGAGAAAATCTAATACTGTACCTCCTAACAAAATTTTGTGATGGATTTTTTTGTAGCTGTGTCAACATTTTCAAAGGGTAAATGCTGTTAAAATGATTCTTTCTTTTGTGGTTCTTTAAAAGTATCAGATGATTTAGGTTAAAAGAATGCATTTTAAAGTTTTTCACTAAACTTCAAATTAAAGGTCCTGTGCTATTTTCATCTATGTTACTTAATTTTTCAACTAGACAAAAGAGAAAGCAAAGAGTATAAATGGGAAAACTGAAATGTTAGCTACTGTTTCTTTAAGAAACCAGCTTATCCAGGGGGTTTTAGAGTGTTTAACCTAACCTGCTAGCAAGGAAAAGTTCTTTAAATAATGGATATTAGCCTTATCCAATCACAATTATCAGTTTCACTAACAGGGAGGAGATTTTACTCTTCGGCCACTAGAATTAGAGAAGGTGGAGCTTGGTATTCAGGTTTGGTTGCTTTGGAGTACAGCTTCAAGTGAAGTTAATCTGAGGTGAAGCAAACAGAAAATTGTGGAGGTTTTGTTGGTAGGATTTTTGTTCTAACCCTTTAATGATCCTCTATTTCATACTTTTGCTCCTTTATGCTTCTGTGTATATTAGGTTTTGTCATTGTTTCTGTTTTCTGCTGCAAACTGAACATTAAAATTAAACAGGGAAGCAGAACAAAAGGACTGTTTGGACAGGAAATAGGTGTTCAGAGAATCAAACTTGACTTTCTCTTAATCATTATTTTTAGTTAAGAATTTGAGTGTCATTACCAACCTTTGACTCTGTATCATATGCCTAACAGGCCATTCTCTTGGATTGGCTGTTGGAGCAGTCATTTGTCAGTTTTTATAAATGACATCTTGAGGAGGTCTGTTTCCTTAAACCTAGGATGTTAAGTTGCTAAAAGGCAGATAAATGTGGCAGGTTTAACTAATCGTTCTTTTATAAGAATTGAAATGCCAAGTGTTTAATTTCCTTTCATGCCCCTATTATTATCCCACTCCTTTAACTCTTGTATATTTAAAATTTAGTAATATTTTTCATATGGTCATAATTCTAGCTTTGTTTTTTAAAGAGAATGCTTTATATTATGTAGAGCGAAGGAAAACTGCTTTCCTCAAACTGTTTCAAAGGTGAAGATAAGTAATAGCCTTTTGAAACAGGAAATGGAAGGATTTACATTTTTAAAAGCTGGAGGTAGGCTTCCAAAACTTGTAAAAAAAGTATCTAATACTCCATTAACATTTTTTACTTATGAAATAGTTGTAGTGTGTGTCAGTATCATAATTTTTCTTTGTACAAACTCTTTTCTATGTGTTGTTGCCCTTTGCTCCCATAGAAATTAAGGTATAAAAGTTCATTTCCATACTCAGTCCAAATACCAGCTGAGCATTTTCTTCAGTATGCCTGTATTTCCTGTGTGGCTTCTTCCAAATCTTGCAAAGGTTCTTAATGTTTTTCAGCTATATCTATTGCTTAAGCTACACTATAATAAAATCAGTAAGTTACCGATACACTCACTATATCATTGTATGGTAGTCTAAATTTTTTCTATCTTCTATATCTTATGTTCTTGTATAATACTTTTGAATTAGTGCAGATATGTTTTGTTTTCATTAAACAGTATCCTCTCATTAAAATTGATTTAATTCTGGTAGCCGTATACTTTCCTTAGGTTGATTTGACCTTAATTAACCTAGTCTTTTGTTTGTTCTACTTTTAGACTGTTCCTGATTTTTTATCATTTTAGATGGCATTGCATTGAACATATTTCTGTGTGTATCTTTACAGTATTTCCATTTTAAAAAAAGACTCCTTTTGGAAAAAATCCCTGGAGTAGGCTTACCTAGATCAAAGGATATGAATACTCACTGGCCCAATTGCTTTTCCAAAACGTTAAACAAATTTTTATGTCACCAGCAGGATGTGCTTCAGAATTTCTCCAGTGGGTAGGCCCTTAAATTTTGTGCTACATTGTGCCTCAAGAGCTCTCTGAGTTGTTGACTAGTGTTAGCCTAAACAGCCTATTTTAAACTTCACTTTTCAAGTTACAAATGAATCTAAATCCATTTTTTGGATATTAAAATTTGCTGAAGGAAATTAAGAAAAATTTTATCCACTTAAGTGAACTATTATGTATATTTATTGGGTATTTAATTCATTATGTATTGGAACCAGCAAGTACAGGTCTTAATATATTATAGTGGCTTTGTTGTTCATGTTAGCTCTCCTTAGTACTATATGTGCTTTCTTCTGGTAAGCACATACCAGAAGAAAGGTTTTCTTCTAAAAACTATATCAGAAACATTTTTAGAGAGGGCAAGAGTAGAACTTTCACCTACCTAATATGAACATATATGAATTGCCTTTGTCACTACATTTCTGTTTTTGTTTTTCTTCTGGTACCAGGAATCGAACTCACAACCTTGTGCTTGCCAGGCAGGCGCTGTGCTGCTGAACCAAATCCCCAGCCCCTGTCACTACATTTCTGAATTTGGGGGTTTTTAAAAATACATTTTAGAAACAGAATTTGTGTGTATACTTCTAGGTTTTAAAATGGCATGTCATACTTTTATAATATGTTACAAGTTTTTATTCAGAGGTAAAAACTACAAACACAAAGTGGTGCAGGACATGTTCTGTTTGTCTTTAAAAACATTCTTTGTTTGGCAGTGACTGCTAGTTAAGTACACCCTTACTGACTAGTCTGCTAAATGAAACAGGCTGCAACTGTTCTGGTATGAACTGGCTTACTAATGTTGCAGAATAAACTTGTTTTGAAGCACAATTGAAGACAAAAATGCCAGTTTAATTAATACATGGTAATATAACTCACTGATGCAGACAGTAGTTGAGTATGTGTAGTCTTGAATTCAATAGTCTGCCTTATTTTACACTTTAAATATGTTAACTTATTTTCTTTTTCTTTTTCTTTTCTTTTTTTTTAATCTTTTTGAGACAGGGTCTCTCTATGCAGTTCAGGCTGACCTTGAGCTCACTTTGTAGCCCAGGCTGGCCTCAAACTTGCAGTGATCTTCCTGCCTCAGCCTGCCAAGTGCTGGGGTTACAGGAGTGCACCACCACGCCCGGCAGTTAACTTATTTTCTATAACTTTCATTTAAATTTATGGATAACAGTATCTTTGCTTTCAGAGGTAATATTTGTCTTTGATTTGTGGGGAAAGTTTTTTTAAATGCATATTTTGGGGTTTTTTTGTTTGTTTATTTTGTTTTGTTTTCCGGTACTGGGAATCGAACTCATGACCTTGCACTGTGCTGCTGAGCTAAACCTCTAGCCCCACATATTTTGTTTTTATGGTTGGAAAATATTTTTCCACACTTTACATTTCATTAACATTTAGAACAGTAGAGAAAAACTTTAAAATTTTAAATAATTATGTCATAAATATTTTCTTTTTGAATTTAAGAAAAGTATTTGATTTTCATAACAAAAGTAATTTTTACTGCTACCAGGTAGAGAAGATAATTGGATGTATAATTTATAAAAGTCATTTCAAGTTTGGCTGTTGATTATATTTTAATGGGTATCTGAGGTGAAGATTTTTTGTTTGTACTCAGGACCACTGAATCTTTGAGAAATGATGATCTTTAATGGTTTCTGTGTTGTATCTACTGTGTTGGTCTCTGATCGACAGAACTAGGGAGAATCGTTTTAGCTCTTTGGTTGCAGAGGGAGAGTGAAAATCAATTTTCTACAAGGAGAAGATAACTCTTAAATTGACCTAGATGTTGGAGAAAGATAGAAATAGTGATAGCAGTGTTTTATTCTTTTGGAATGGAAAAAAAAACGATGGAGGGGATGTGGAATGTTGCATACAAAGTCTTTACTGTTGGGCAGTTCAGGGGACGGTTGTGATGTTTTTACTTTTAATAATGTAAGGAAAAAATGTAATGGCAATAAGTTGATAAAACTTGAAAGAACATAGGACCAGAGGCTTAGTGTTCAAAAGGTCTTTTTGTTCTCTGTAGTAGGAGAATTTTAGCTGTTTGGAAGTGTTGTTCCTCGTATGGCTTCTTACATGCAAGAAGGTAAATGTTTTAGGAGGTAGCTTATTTGTTTGGGACTTAGGAAGTGCTTATTTGTGAACTCATGTCTGTGAACCAGCCGATTTGAATGAGTTTGGCCTTCTGTGTTTGGATGCCAGTGGAAACAGTGAGCTTGGAGCAGTTCTGTGGTTAGCAGTGTTTTGGTAGGAAAGCAGCTCCATCTACTCCCCTTTGTACATATTTCCCACTCCCAGGTACAGCCGCCTACATCCCTTCCCCCTTGTGGATGAAGTCCTGTACTTGATTCCTCAGTAACACTTAGTACTCTTGACAGTTTTTCCTTTTGGAAATTCTTTCCATGAATTTCATGACACTGCCTGTGCTTCCTCCTTTTTGTGGTCTTTGTGTCCTATGCAAATGTTTCCTCTCTACAGCTATTCAGTACTGGAGTTTCATAGGATTATTAACTGTTCTTGCTCTGTAGTTGCCTTGTTAATCTCCAGTCCCATAGCTGTAATTAATATCCTGTGTATGTTAATGTTTCTGAGTGCTCACTTTCTTTTTTCTTCAGTACTTGAGACCAGTATTCATCCAGCTCACAAACTTGGGCATCATTCTGATTTTTTTCCTTCACCCCCAGTTAGCCACAGAATCTTAACATTTTAAAATCTATACTATTTCAAGAATCTGTCCATTCTTTTCTTATCTCTTTAGTGTAGGCCACACTAGGATTTTTCTCTTAGATTGCTGAAACAGCCCCTAACTGATCTTCGAGTTTGATTCGGTATAATACTTTATTTACAGGACAGTCATGTCTGTTTTTCTCTGTTCAGAATTCCTTAGTGATCCCTTGCTGTCCTTTGAACTTTAACTTAACTGCCTAGGCTGAAAAATAATACCAGTGAATTCTGGGCTAAACATTCTCTCAGGGAGTCCCGAAACAACCCGAAGAGCTAAGTATTGCTCTTACTTAACAATGATTTAGAAAAAGCTAACTCATGTTCAGAGTTTCCTTAGGTGGTGAGAGGCCAGCATACTTTGAACTGAGGTCAAAGTACTTCTTTCCCTTAAGCACGGAGCTGTCTTTCTAAACTGATCCTTGCTTACTTCTCCAACTTTTCTTCTCGTATCATTCCACTGCATCCCTTAACTGGTTATTTACAGTTCTTTCTAGGGCATGCTCAAAACTTGCTGCCCAAGTGTAAAAATACCTTAAGGAAAACAAACTTTTTTAAAAAAACAAATATTTTCAGAAAAGCATTTATGACAATTTTTTGGCACACTCTGAAAAAGATATGACACTTTAGCATCCCCAGAGTATAAGAAGATAAAAGAATGAGACATAGAAAAAGTAAAGGTTGTTTTCCCTCTGTGGTTAATTTGGAATTTCAAAACTGCTCAATTCCTCACTTTTAAAGCTTGGCACCAGGCTTTATAAAGGGAAAGATTAGGGAAAGTGCGAAAGTACTTTATGTGAGCTATTTGAAATGCTAATGACCTCCTTAAGTAGCTATTAGCCTGGACCTTGTG